TTGTTAAGTGAAAGTAGCTGCCATGGGTGAGCAACGCACAGGGTTAGGGTTCACGTACGCTCCACGTAGAGGTGAATGACTTGGAGAGACACAGGCCCCGGGTGTTGGCATCTGCAGGGCAACTGGGCAAAGGAAAATAGGTTGGGTGGGTTTGGGGGACAGGAGCTACAGTTCTACTCGGGTATTGGGAGGGTACGGCCTGTCCCAGCTCCACACCTAGTGATCCAGGGACAAGGGTGGTCTGTGACCCCCCCTCCAGGGGCAAATTGCATTCACCCAAGCACCGTGGGAATAGGAACACTAAGGGGGGAGAATTGGTAAGAATAAGTAGGCCTGCTCCATTCTGAATCTTGCGGATTATAAACTGCTTCAATCGAGGGGGTTCTAAGTGGTGCATAAAAGCGACGCAACAGAAGGTTGTGCAGAAGGAGGCGGTGGATGGGACGCGTCGCAGAATGGATCGCTGCCGTATGCCTCACCAGTTGTTCTATGGTGAACTGGAGACTGGAAGAGACCTCGTCATCGCGCAAGCGCTACAAAGACACTGTGAAAGAAGCCCTGCGCCACCGCGACATCCCAGCCAAGGGAACAAGAACCTGCCCTGTGCTCCAAAGCCTCCGCCGGCTTTGAAGACAGGCACCGCCAAAAACTGATGGAGAACCATGAGCGGCGTCACAGAGTAACACCCACAGCTCTTGTACTTCCAGTGCCCCCCTTGTGCTAGGCTCTGCGCTTCCAGACTGGGACTGCAGAGCCACCTCCGTGTCCCGAGATGAACTGCACAAGAGCCCATCTTCGAACCCAGAGGACCACCTGTTGTTATAAAGCAACAGCTGGTGAAGAGCTGATCTGTTGGCTCACCTCTGGTACTAACCTACGCTGTAATACCCTGAGGGCGCAGCCTTCCTGGAACGGGGACAACAGACCCGTTCCCAGCAGCCTTAATTAGGACCCCGATGCCATTTATCCCCTGAGAAAGCGGAATATGTGGGTATCTCGGGGGAGTTCATGCTGGAATTGAGGGGGGCTTAGGAACTCTGCAGCTGCTGCTGAAGCCCATTTAGTTGACCTCTGTGGTTGGTGTAACCACTGGGGACGGAGATCCTAGCTGGCTTAAGGTTAGTCCAACAAACCTCCCCAAACCATTTCCCATATTTTTTTTTACCTTTTCACATTCCCACCATAAATGCAAGTCCCAATTTCTTTTTTACACCTCCAACAATTTTTTAAATTACTTCTGTTATAATAGCTTAAAGTTACTGGGGTCATATACCATTTCCAAATT